GAGAGAGGGAAAAGGTAAAAAGACCCAATCATAGCCCTGGAGGAGAAAAGGATTGTGGGAAACACTGCTGACAGCCAAAGGGGATAGACATACACTCACAAGCAGGAAATCACTTGTCAGCAGTGCACATGTAAGGCCACAGGGGACACCAGAAACCCAAACACATCTCTACTCTAATGCAAACATACAGGCAGAAAAATGTATACAGTAGGTATTTAATATGCAAAGCAGACAGGTAAACAGAATACACAGACAGGCACCCATTTTGCTACACAAGCAGTCTGTGAGTGTGTGCGAGTCTGTTAGAAGGCCAGTGTTATCTGAGCATACATGAAAGTCTTTGCTAAATGATATGTTTGCCACATGCTAGGTGCTAACTAGTGATGGGAATTTAATTTAGTCATTTGCATGACTGAAAAACAAAACAATAGAAGCAGGCAAGTCAGAGAGCAAGAAAACAAGTCAGCGATCAGATAAAGTATGTTTCTGGGATGAAATGGTTAATGGTGTCACAGTAAAATTACTGAAGGTTAGTATTCAATTTTAAATATCATCAAAACCGTGGTCAGACAGTGCTTTGAAAACATCCCTGATGAAGGGTTAAATACTGTCCAGGATCAACAAAGTTAGCTAAAGGTTCTCAGACATAAGCGCAGTATGCATCGTGGGTTTGTTTGGGTCAGTGAAAACATGGCGGAATGCTGTGATGCACCAAGCAACAACGCTCTGGAGACTTTTCATCCATCTAAGACGACTAAGTGTTAAGTGTGGGCATACTTTTGGCTTTTACAAGAGTCCCAGGTGAGACCCTGTCTGCAGGACATGCAGGAAAAAAAAGTGCTGCAAAAGGATGCAACATTGCAAATAATAACAACGATGCACTTGCTGCATTTTCAAAATAAAACCTTAAACGAATGATTAATGTTGTAAGTATATTTTAAAAATTTTCATCATATTGTTAACAGTACTGTGATAATACTGATAATTTGTCACTATAATCGTTATGTTAAATTTTCATACCAGTACATCTCCAGTACATTTCTTTAGTGCTTCTTTCAAGTTTCAGAAAGCAGGCGCACACACACACACACACACACACACACACACACACACACACACACAACAGGCCAGTTACCAAGCTTTATGTACTGCGGACCATGCAAGTGGCATCCTAGTGTATTAACAGAGCTAAGCATATGGTTGCTTGCCTGTCTGCAAGTCCTGTAAGTTCATCATGTTCGATTACTGCATTTACCTGACAAGCCAGTCAAAAATTCCTTTCCCACTACAATTCACTACAGTGATTGTTACTGAGCCACCCCACTCTCTCTCACACACTCACCCTCTCTGTTATACTCTTTTACACCAAGAAATTAGTGTTCATCCTTCATTTTCCAACATGGAGCTAACCTGCTTGGGATCCATTTTACCCAAATCTGATGACCTGCATGTATGTCAATATTTCAAGGCATTTACACAAGATGAGGGCAAGATGCATACAGTATCTGGCAGTTCATCGTGTCACGATCTTCTCTGAGGGTGTCCAGCTCGACTCCCTGTCATAAAATGGCCCATATTAGAAGAGGAAATTTGAACAAAACTGCAACACTAACTCACTCGATTCATGGGCAGTTTTATAGTGTTAGGGAAAAAATGTGTGTGTGATTGTGTTTGACAGAAAGAGCAACACCAAGAGCAAGTGCTCTACCAGTCAAGCTTGTCAAAACAAGGTCAGTCCCTCCTTTCTTCAACCAGCACATGGACACACACACGCACACTGTCCTTTAAAGGTGTCTGGGAGGAGGTGGGGGGATCACACCACAGTGGACCACCTAAATAAATAGTGGCAGAAATGGTTAAAGATGAGCCATGCAAGCACGCCTGTGCAAACACACATACAGACACACACACAAGACAAACATCACATGCACACATGGGACAGAGCAACAAACAGTGGCTGAAGTGAGCATGAGCAAAGGAGGGAGGGAAGGAATGGGGGAGGAGAATGAAGGGGTGAGGAGGGGTCACCAGCTGTTGACCTTTGATGGGAAAAACAGATTAGTCTCAAACTGGTGGGAGAGGCTGACCTCTCTCACTCTCTTACACCGTTCTTCTTCCACTAACCAAATTCCCTCTCCTCTGTCCCCCTCTCCCCCTCCCACGGTCAGAGTCCAGCTGTGTGTGAGAAGCAGATAAAGCCTCGGTGCTCAGTGTGTTTGAAGTCTGCACATACAATAGCAGCGTTTATAAAAACTGATTATCACACGACTAGTGACATTTCTGATAAAGAGGAGCTCGGTTCCCTCTTGTCCTCTTTGATGTCCAGGGGTCTCATTTGCTCTTGAGTCCACTTAATTCCAAATCTCATTACCATGCCCCATTGACCATCTGATTATCATAAGTCAGGCTCATTTTGACACTTCTTTTGATGTACGGAAAGTGCATCAGGGGTTTACACTACCATGCCCATTCTCCTGTTTCCTATGTCATCTTTGGAAGTGCATGTTTGGCTCACCCCTATTCGTTTGAAGCTGGACAAAAGGAGAATTATTTCAAAATCAGATCATCCAGCGGACCATATGATTTCTATCCCAAGCTGTTTTAAAAAGGCCCCTTTGATGCTGACTAGAGAAGCACTGAGCACACTGGGAAAGTTTGTGCTGCTCTGCTGTCACTCAGCTTCCTGTTGCTTCTCTTTTGCCACCCTGACATCCTGGGAGAGATTGGGCTCACCAAGTGCACAGTGGAGGTAAGTGAGCCTGGTATATGGTCTTTGGTTGGTTACATTAGAAGCTTCTGATTGCTCAGGTGAAATTTCTCTTAAGATTAAACTATGTTCTTATTAAGATACAACCATCCAGTCAGGCCTATTTGTGCTTAATGAATTTTACAAGAGCTGCAGTGACCAAAAGGAGCTGCATGCCACTCACTTATCGCTTCTTAGTCCGCCTGCACCTTTTAAGACTACTAATCTTTATTTTAGGATACTGTCCTCCCACAGAGGTTAGTCATCATAGTGCAAACGCTCAAAGATTCCGAATCCGATAGCTCAGAACAGCCTTTGGCTGATAAGAAGATGATGACTGTAAATGTTATGGTATGCAGTATTAAATATACTTTAACTGATAAAATGCTTATTTTAAAATGCATTTCTAAAGGAACAATGTAAAAATCTAACCATCTCTTAAATCTTTGTTTGTTTTGTGTCTTGACTGAGAAACCCTTCCTTTTTCCATCTCCCATTATGATCAATGTTCCCATGTTGCTTTATTCTGTGGCACAGGAGAATAGTGATGATGATAAAAACTTGTCACATGCTATAAATATTGTTTTTCAATTACTGTCCCTTCCCTAGCACCTAGTTTGTTCCATTTAGAAAGCCCGACATCCTGCAAACCTGTCATTTACTTTAACTACTGAACGTGCTAAATTCTATAAGCACTTATCACTGTCATTTCTATCCAAGAGCGCAAACCTTGTCAGCAGCTAGCTAACTGATAAACTGACTCAGAGGCAGTCAGACTGTCCGACAGTAGCAACCACATATAATGGGCACTCAGCCTTTTGGGGAGTTTACTGTCAGATGAGAGGGTGAAGACAGATTCTCCATCCATTTGCTTGGGTGGATCTGTGTGTGTTCAAGTCACTGTCTCACAGAAACTTGTAGTCAGACGACATTCCAGACTCTAACCAGCGGCACATGAATACTGCCCTGCTGCCTATACTGCTGCCATTGCCAGGGTAGACACACAACAACTCTCACACGTCAGAGGGCTTAGTGATTGGCAAGTCAGAGAGAGTGCACTGACTGGGAATAACAGCGAGTCCGAGTTCACCTCTTGCTTCCCTGTTTTTCTCTCCATACCCTCCTACAGCTTCCTCCACTACTGCTCCTTAACCGTTGCTCTTTCGACATGTGGTGATGTCACCCTAATCTGACATATTCACATCGCCCTATACCTCCCCCCACTCCCTGTTTTCTCATCCTTCCTCCCCAGCTCACTGTCACACATTTTACTGTAAGCCATGTGACTGACAGCTGCAGCTGCAAGCATTTCACTTCAGCTGTGTGGCTTTGTAAAGATCTGACCCTCCCCTCCAGCCTGCACTCCCATCAGGCCCACAGGCCTTCCCCCTAGCAACAGGCTTCAAGTCAAGCCAAAAAAAGCCACCCCGATCATTTGGAGGGGCTGCAACTTGGCATAGTTTGTGCAAGTAAAGGTTACCTTGCTCCAGTCTGTTCTGTATCAAAAGCAAAGTGAACAGGAGTTTTTGCTGAACCCTCCAGATCCGCACGGACAAAAAATTTAATGAGACAAAATAAAAGTTGCACAGTAACAGCTTTGGAAACATGGCATTTTAAGAGACAGTTGTCAAGAGTCAGACCTCAGCCTACAGAAATATTCCGACCACATTAGTGCATCACAACCAATTCTGAGAAGTACACAGATGACACACAGGGAGAGGCGAAGGGGTGACCCCCACTGCTGAAAATGATATGATAATGGCAATGACACAGGAAGCAGCAGCTGCATATTTTTCTACCATGTCAGCATGCTAGCATGGTGTGAAAGCAAACACACAGAGTGAGGCTAATGGCTAGCACTAAGATGAGGGGGTTAACTTTCCTGTCAGGTTGAGTGAGATGTAAGAATGTTCCCCGGTTTCAGGTGAAGAAAAAACTGTGGCATGCTGGGAAACAACAGTCCATCCAATAGATGATACAGGTAGAGCTCTGTCACTGTCACTGTGCTTGTGTGTTTTTAGGATTGGAAACATACCAAAAAACACTGCCAGTTATTTTTAATGTTTTGTAATAAGTTTATCAGCTTTGCCTTTCACTGTTTTGTGAGCACTGCTGCCTTTAGACATTCTTGAGCTTCACAGGAACAGAAAATTGCTAAGATACTATTGAAGAGTTACAGTAAGTGTGTTGAATTTATAATGAAGTCTGGGTCCTTTAAACATTGCTTAATTACCAGTACCTCGATTATTTTTAGTTTACTATTAATACATTTAGCTTCAAACTTTATAAATTTCAACTGTTACCATAATAACATTTAGCATGATACATTTCTGTGCATCTTCCTCAAACTCTGGCATTTGCTGGCTTCCACATGGCAGCGAGTCCCCAAACTACCACCTTCTCTCCACGAGTTTCCCTCAGCAGTGTTAAAATAAGACTTGACGGGTTACTGAGCTTACGTGTGTGGCAGACACACCCTTCCCAAATAGGGCAGTAAATTTCTAGTGAGATGCCAGGGCAGGCAGTCCCCCACAGGCACAGTGTCACAACTGGGAAAGACTGAGCTGGACCTATACAGGAGCTGACACTCCAAGCAGCCAGCACTGCCCACTGCAGACAAGACCACACAGACTGCTAACAAGACTAGTCAGTTACTTGACCACAGACTAATGACTCAAGACAGAACTCCATATTTACACCAACAGAGTTCTAGTGAAGATGGGATTTTTGAAGACATTTTACACAAATGAGTCACATTATTTGCTGATGTCACATGACTGCAGCGTTACTTCTGAAATATATATGCATCCTCAACAGAGTGGAAGAAACTATTTCAAGAGCATTTCAAAGAGCCTGCCGAGAGAGCCAGATCATTCTAGTGCCATGTTCAGCAGTAAATGAGCCAGTACTCACAGGTAGAGTGATACAATCTTGGAAGCAGCCTGTCCTAAGTCCGGTATGGAGGTCAGTGTATTGTGATCCAGCCGCCTGAAAGTGACAAACACACACAGAGTAGTAGATTAGAGAAGAAAACCTTACAAAGCTGTTTTTTATGAAGCACATGAAGCACATTTGACACGACACTTGACATTATACTGAAAAAAAATATAAAACAAAAAAAAATAAGATGCACAGAAAACATCCTTATTGGTGAAACTAAACAAAAATAAACTCTTTTAAATGTTAAATTTAGACAAAAAAAACTGTCAAGTATTTTCTACACAAATTGTATATCAGAATCATCTTTTTCACATTTTCTTCTATTTTTGCTAATGCAAAATGCTGTGTGGAGATTTTGGTCAGAGGGGCAGCAGCCCTCTATTGGACCTGGGGAAAACACTGGCGAGGGAAGAGAGTGGGGGCCCTGGTTTAGTTATGACAGAGAGGGACCCGGACGCCGCTCGTGTCAATCCATCTAGTGACTCTCCACTCTCTAGCCAACAAAATGAATTTACTTCTTCTCATCAACCAGACTACCTGACTTCTCACGCTCTGCTACTCTATGCTTCATGGAGACTTGGCTCAGCGACTCCATCGCGACAGTGTGATACAAATACCGGGGTTCCAGGTATACAGAGGAGATTGTGCAACAGAGTTATCCAAGAAAACAAGAGGAGGCAGAATCTGCTTCTACATAAACAAAAGCTGGTGTAAAGACAAAACTGACTTAGAGACTCTTTTCATTGTCTGCAAACCATTTTATTCTCCCAGAGAATTTTCAACATTCACTCTGGTCAGAGTGTATATAAGACGGCAACATGTCAGTTGTCCCACCAGGGACAAAAACACATTGGACTACTGCTACACAGTAATAAAAGACACCTATCACTCTGTCCCCCGTGCAGCCCTTGGACTCTCTGATCACTGCATGGTCCATCTCATCCCAACCTGTAGGCAGAAACTTAAAGCTATGAAGACTGTGGTCAAAACAGTGAAGAAATGGAGCAGGCAAAGTCAGAACTATAAGCCTGGATGAACATACTGACAATGTGACGTCTTACATCAACTTTTTGTGAAGATGTGTGTGCCCACCAAGACCATCTGCACATACGACAACAACAAGCCCTGGTTCATAGTAAAACTCTAGTAGCTTTGTCGTGCCAAAGAGGAGGCCTACAGAAGTGGGGTCAGGATCCTGTTCAGACAGGCCAGGAACACATTGACAATGGAGATCAGAGTAGCAAAGAGTGGCTACTCCAAAAAGCTGAAAAAAACTCCTTCTTCTGTGTAGAGGAATCCAACAAATCACTGGAGCTGTGTGGAGTCCCCTCCTGCTTCAAATGCTCTACCATCATCACGGTTCCAAAGAAACCCTGCATCAGCGGACTGAATGACTACAGACCTGTTGCCCTGACATCTGTAGATACATATGAAGTCATTTGAAAGACTAGTGTTGGCCCATCTGGAATACATTGTAGACCCCCTTCTGGACCCCCTGCAGTTTGCCTATTGGGCAAACAGGTCACTGTATGATACAGTCAACATGGCACTGAATTACATCCTGCAACACACAGACTGCCCTTCCTGTATCAGCAGAGTTCTTCAATCCCTGGGCTCCACTGTCTCCAAGGACCTGAGTGGACGTCCAACATCTGCGCCATCACCAAGAAGGCACAGCCAGACGAACTTCCTACACCAGCTCAGGAAGGTGTCAATACAGTTCTACAGAGGAATCATCAAGTCTGTTCTCTGCTCATCCATAACTGTCTGGTTTGGTTCATCAACCAAACAGGACAGGAACAGACTCTAGCAAACAGTCAGGGCTGCAGAAAGAATCATCGGTGTCAGCCTGCCCTTCATGGAGGATCTATACTTCTCACTGGTCAAAAGGAGGGCAGAGAAAATTTCTGCAGACCCCTCACATCCTTGGCACGAACTGTTTGAACTCTTCCCCTCTGGATGCCGCTTTATAGGTGTGTTCAACACACCTGGCCTATAAAGCTGATTCTGATATTTTAGATGAGATGCCACAGTGTTCTTATACATGCAACTAAATTCAGTCAAACCTTGTGTAAATCAAGAGATGTCAAACACGACTTGTCACGTCTGCTGCAGAGCGAGTAGTCCTTTTAAAAACCAAAAATAACATAGGAGTGAAACAGATGTCAGGGAGCATATGACCAGCTGGCTAGCCTGCCAAAGGTGTCACCAGTGTGTGTCTCACCAGTTAGCCCCTCATATGTGTGTGTACGAGTCTTGTGTACTGGCCTTGACTGACAGTGAACGAAGCCCTCTCCTCACCATACAAAATATTTACAAGGCGTAACATAACCAGAGTTCCATTAGAAAAAGTGTTCAGTGGAAATTGTGTGAGTATTCTGTTGGTGACTACTTACAGCTCTCTCAAGTTGGGAAGGTTGTCAAATGCTTCAACACTGATGGTGGTCAGCTTGTTGTGGCCGAGATTTCTGGGGAAAAGTAAACAAATGATTTGTTTGACAGCAGACAGTGGAGAACAGTTAATATTGAAAATGTCAAATGTCCAACATTATTTTCATAACTTTCATTGTATTGTCACAATTTTTCAGTAGTTCAAATAAAGATCCTGATCAATAGCAACAAGTATTCCTCCCATCTGACAAACAACCTCATCCATCCACATTAAATATGCCTGAAAACACTGCAGTACATCAATTCAGTGGGCCTTCCAGGAGGGCCCGGATCAATAATATTGATACAGTGTCTCTCTCTCCTGGCTCACCATCCTAACATAACCCAGAGGCCATTCATCAGCAGCAGTCAATTTGCACTTTAAGCAAACAATTTATTTAACAGCTGACACTTGACTTGTATAGGGGCTTATTAGAGAGTGAGTTGTCCAGTGATAAAGCATTATTGCTGCCACAGAGCGACTGAAGGGGAGGTGGCATGTGTGCGCACCTAACACACATCTGCATTTCAGATTGAGCCTCCCATGCCATATGAATCAAATTTATTTCTCACATTAACAAGTGCTATCTCTGTCACACACACACACCCAGACACACCTCCTGCGTTGCTGGCATGCAGCCTGCCTGTTGGCAAAGAGGAGGCTGCAGTGAGAACAGTGTTCGTGTTTGTGTGATGGGGTTAGGCTAGGCGAGACAAAAGGAGCCCACAGCTCCGGACCACCTGCCTCCCGCCCCTCCGTCCCTCTGTCCAGACGCGAGACGGCACAGGAATGTTTCACAGTCCTGCCGAGAGATGGCCGCTGGTTCCCAGAGGCTGGGGACACTTACCTGACACAACACATTCCTCACCCTCTTGTCCCACTGCAGGGGGAGAGGGGGATTTGAGGCTGAACTCTGAGCACAAGCTTTTGTCATTGACGTTTCCCTTTTGAGAAAGTGAGAGTGGATATAAAGCAAGCTAATGTCTCACATCATAGACACTCCACTTTTAAATACTATTTATGCCTATTAATCTCCCTCTCCATCTCACTTGACAGATTTCCTTTATTTGTATTCTGTACTTGATCACAGATAATGACAGTCTCCATTCCCAGTTCTCCCTCCCTGCGAGTGTGTGACGAGATAATAGCAGAGCATGTGTCTGCCTTCCAGGCATAGGCCTGACAGGGAGGTGTGCACATGTGTCTGTACTATGATTATTTAGTGCGGAACCTGCCATTGTGGCCGAGATCACTAAATTGTCCCCTGCAACAGGAGGCAATTACCTTGTTACGGTGAGGCTAAGTGGGAAAAAAATAAAAATAAATCCCACAGCTTTCCTATGGGCCGCCTCTGCCCGGAGGTACATATATTCACCCAACGCACACACTCAGCACGGACAGGATGAACTTGGGAGCGTGTTGTCATATGGTAAAGTTATCAGCAGTTTTATCACCCTGCTTTTGGCACAAAACAGGTCAAGAAATTTTATTAGTGAACACTGAATTACAAGCAAATAAAATGCACCCAGGAACACCGTCTCCAAAAAAAAACTTTTCTGTGCATTTAAAGATGGAGGTAATTGGCTGTGCACATTTGTGGGCATGAAGCACAAAGCTCAAGAAAAAGGAAAGCTAAACACAGGGATGACCAAAAAAAAAAGTCATGTCAGAGGGCCAAACCTGTAGTACTGGTGCAAAAGACCACAGCAACAAATAAACTGGCCCTTTGTGCGTGTACACAGGCATGCATGTGCCTCTTTCTAAGTCACCTATGGTGTTTACACAACTGAACCTTTTCCTCACCATCTCATTCAGCCAGATTTTATTTTCTTGCCTATCAGATGAGATAAGCTTCACAGTGTTTTAACACCTACTGTATGAATTGATGGTGATAACACTGGTTTCCCGCCCTTTCCTGCTCCCTTCCCCCCTCTTTCCTGCAGGAGAGGTGGGGTTGGCTGCTTCAGCCCTAAGTGTGGTTAATGCTGTCCAGAAAGTGACCTTAAAATCATGCTGTTTCTGGAAGAATTTGCTGAGTCGAGACCTAGAAGTCATTCCAGTTTCTGACTTCTTCACAGGGGGAGAGATGTGGACACCAGATCAGCAGAAACATAAGGAGAAAAATGAGAGCCATCTATAGAACTTGTCAAACTCAACAACAGGTGCAGGGAACAAACCAGCGATGGCACAACACAGCTTTCATAGCTTCACTTCGTATAACTCAACCAGTTAGAAAAGGATGTATATCTGAGATAAGAACAGGTGCTGATTAAACACTACAATGTGGTTTAGTGCTTCGAACACTGCATTCTATCGTATGATACAACTAGTTTAGACAAATGGGCAGGGTTGTTTGACATTAGTCAGCGGGATCAAAATCAAAAGCACCCTAAGCTAGGTATTTAACCAAAGAAGTGTGTGATCATTTAAGGTGGCATGTTGAGCCATGTACCAGTCTAAACACTGACTTCAAACTGCTGTTGACTGGTACGTTCTTGGCTGATTTTTTTATATTCAGCCAATTAAACTATTCACATTTGAAGACAATAATTAAAATGAAATTACTAAATAGGATATTTAATTATCTTGTTACTACTCTCACTAATGGCTAGTTTACAGGCATCATTTACTGTAAATACCATCAATTTAATGAATTGATGTTTTCTTTTTTAAACAACCATTAACTCCCACCTAGAAAAGAAGAAGTCCCTGATTGAAGTGAGAATACTCAAGCTGAAGTTGCTTAATACCAAGAACACTCACAGCCACAATAAACAGGCTACATTTAATAGGAACTGTCTATGGAACAGCCAACATTTCAGCTGTGTTCTGACAAACTGCTGGCCACCACTGATCACACAGGTCAGCCTAACCTCTTCTTGTCAGCAGAACTGAAGAGACACAAAACGAGGGCAGCTGGAGTGACGGCTGGTCTGGGATAAGGAGGCACAGTCACACTCCCACCTTCCAGCCCCGCCTGGCCAGCACCACCCAAACAATAACCACACACTGTTACATGTCAGGAGGAACACATTTCTCTCTGGAACACTATATAAGTTTTAAAACGCAAGGCTCTAACACAGTAACACCACAAAGAAGATCAATGGTAATGTCAAAAGCAAACAAATAATCAACCACCTGTTGCCACTAAGCTTTGTCACTAGTTCTGAAACAGTTAATGAATCAACGCAAATTTAACTGGTCATGACTATTTAGATTAATTTATTTTATTATACTAAACAAAAATAATTGCTAGAACAACTAATAATCAGTCAGCTGCTGGAAGCAAACATTAGCTTAAATCAGATAAAGCATGATAAACCCATAAAAGGCCTGTGTGACTAAGCAAACTGTCTTAGAGAGAAAGTAGGGCTCAGCAGCTGCAGTAGATGGTCATCACTGGACCACGCGGCTGATTCGACATTTAAAACTCATTAAATAGATTTTAAAAAAAAATAGCTGTGTTAACAGTGCTGTGGGAGTAGGGAACGTCTGGGAGTACAGTGATGTCATAGCATATGACACTATGCTTGTAAGTCAGAGCGCAGTCTGTATGTGGGAGAGCGGAGATATGGATAGGGAGGACGAGAGCGGGGACTTACACATACAGAGATACATCATCATTATCGTTCCCATTTCTACACTAGATAAATGCAGTTTGAACTTTGCTTGCTGAAAGTGTGAAGTGATGTCAGTGATGAGCCTTCTGTAGACAAAGACCCTTTAATGCGGTCGATTTCAGAGCATCATAAAACTAGTCAAATAATAACCTGCGTGTCGGAGAGGCGAGCGCGCACACACGCACACAACACTCTTCCTGTCATTAAGGGCCAGTTTATAGCCAGACAACTGTAGTGAGTGTACATAAGTCTAACACCAGATCCAGGCCACCATTTTACACACTAGTCAAATGAAGGAAGGAGAGCGGCAGAAAAAAGTCAGTGTCTTATCAAGTCTGACAAGGTTAAAAGCACAAACTGCCACACAGAGATTTGCTATATTAATGATGAATGTGAGCTACTGAAACCTGTGTAAAAACACCAGCATGTCTAAGATATTGGAAAGACGAGGAGAGCTTAGGTGTAACATCAGATATGTCGCACTAATAGGATCTTTCATCATTTGTATTACAGAGCCCCCACCCACACACACACACACACACATTACACAGCTCAACAAAGGAGCTGCTCCAGGCTTTAAAATAAGTTAGGATAGGAGCATGACTGCGCTTCTGAAGTTTTCCTAGAAAGGAAGGCAGGCCACATCTTGGGGCCACGTGTACTGCCGTTCTCCCCGCTGCCAGTTTGGGGCTGAAGCAGGAGACGGGCCAGGGCTGTCCAAACAGACAGGCATAGGGTTGAGTAAGGGGTCTGCATTAGCTCTAGGCACCGCTTAAAAGATAACCTGTGGCCAGGCCTTACAACACCAGCTTGAACGGTCCAGCTGAGAAGCACGATGATGCCATCCTCACTGCACATATGTACATGCAAGCCTTGTCCAAATTCTCACAGGACCTCGCTCCTGCGTTAAACACTGGACTGTATGATAACACTGTAATTTGTTACAAATGGCACCAGACTGCTTCGTTGTGAGTTAAAGGAAATGAGTGTCTCCAATTAATCTGAAAGAATAACATAAATATGTGTGCTCTTTAGTGGGGCTATTGTTTTAGTACAGTGCAGACAGCTAACCTTATGTTCTCGACTTCAAAGTGGAGAAAAAGACTGATGGTTAGTCCGTTTTTTCCCTGCTTACTGTTTGTTATACTAGCAAAGTAATAATTACACTCCAGCCAGTGAAGAGAAAAGCGTCTAAATAGTGGACCAGGCTGTCCTTACAATCTAACTGCATGTCAATGTGTGGCTGTCAGACAGCGAAGCTCCTTTTTACAGTAACAGAAAGTACAGGGGCTAATATGGGGGGGTTAAAAATGTTTGGCTCAACTTAGAACTTCCAGCTACACAGCCTGTTTTCTGGGGCTGCTTTTCTTGCACAGTACCTCTCACTCTCTGTCCAAGTCACGCTTTTTTTCCTCCA